GAAGAAGTTTCATGCTGAAATGCTACTCTGTTTGCACCACTGTTGGAGCCTCTGAAACTTTTGCTTGCTGTATTATGTTTACACCACCATTTATAGGGAATGGGAGGAAAACACACTTGTTTCAAAACAAGTATTATTCAATGTTTATTAAAAGCAGGTTATTTCACCCATTCATACATCCTCAAAGGCAGTTTAAACCTTCTATATACAAAAATACCTTATAAAATCAAATAATCCACAGCTAACAAATGTTTCTTTTCAGTGAGTATGTTGAATTCATGTCAAATGTAAATAATGATTGTATTTACATTGTCCCCAAAAAAAGTTATAGGCATACTGTGGAAATGCAATAGTCTAAGACAACAAAATGACATTAAAGAAAATCTTTATTTGCTAAGAATGATATTGGGCCACTGGAGAGGTAAGTGGTGGGAAACTTGACTGAAAATACCTTCCATTATTTCAGTTTTGTACTTTGACTACTGCATTAGACTAAGCATCCAGCCTGGCGTCCCTGCCCATGGCAGAGAGCTTGGAACTAGATGATATATAAGGTCCCTTCCAACCCAAACCATTCTGTGATTCTATGATCCGAACAAGTGCTCATTTTTCCGTTGGAACAAAAGATTTTGATGAGGGATTTTTCTAATAATGGGTCAGTGAAGATTATTATTTTTTAAAAAATCTGGTCCACTTGGAATACCTACCGATGTTAACGGGAGACAGGGAAATAAGTAGCTTGTTACCTTTTACCCTTTCTGTTTCTTCTGATATCCACTGGTGACTTGAGCACAAAAACTGCTTAGCTACACAAGTAAGCCAGGGGAATCAAAACACACAGGGAAGGCATGGTTCAAACTAAGTTTGTAAACAACTTCTATGCTGCAAAGGCAGGTCTGCAGCAAAGAGGAACTGCAGAGGATGCTCTACATTATGGCACCTATTTCATGACTATTTTCTACTTTGCTGTAGATCTTGCATCTGCTTAATACTTTCACCTGTCTCCTGGTACCCACCATGTATCTGGTAGACATTTTCTTCTCTTCAAATGAGGAAATTCTCCCCCCAGGGTCTAGTAACCTCTTTTTCATGAAAATGGAGTAGAAGATGAGTATGAGAAAGGGGGTCAAGATGAAGCTCTTTATAGGAATATCATCATAAATTTATTCAACATTTCACTCTCTGAGACTTCCTTTTTCAGTTTTTCTTAATGTCTTTGACTTTTGTTCTTCCAATCCAAATACAAATCTTACAGGTTTTTAAAATTCAAAACACCATGGCAATTTTTGCTACGACTTTATTATTAGACATTAGCAAGGACATAAGATTCATGGACAAGTGTTTGCATCACTGTTTTACTTTGACGGACCCACTATCTCCCGCCTCGCCCACCACGATCCAGTTCCGAAAGCAGGTTTCAGAGCTCCTTGAGAGACTCGATATTATGAATTCTTCATTTTGTACACAATGGTTATCTCAGTCTGTCCAAGTAAGTAAAACTCCAGTTGGAAAAGCAAATACACTATGTGGCGAATAATAAAAAAAAAAAAAAAAAAAAGAGATGCTTGATACTACATTTTTGAAGTGGTCTATTTGCTATACAAGGCTAAATAACTTAAAAGTCAAAACCAAAACTCATCTGCTCCACTGCTCCTTGTGCTTGCTCTCTCTCTGCTTTTTAACCGTAACATATCCATGACACTGCGTGCATATATGTCTCGCAAATTAACATTGATATTAGAATCACTGGATGAGTTCTTTGTGAGTTTCTTTAAAGCTTCACGCTGTCGAAGAGCAGCTTCTTTTATCTTCAGTGTAAAGTAACAAGCAGAAAAACGGTCATTTATTATCGCTATTGGCAACGCCAAAACCAGTATTCCTGATAGGATACACATAAACGCCACTACCTTACCGATGGTAGTGTCTGGTCTGATGTCACCGTAACCAACAGTGGTCATGGAAGTTGTGGCCCACCACCAAGCAGCAGGTACGCTTGTGAAAGTCGTGCCGGGCATGCCTTGCTCAACAAAGTACTCCACAGTGGAAAATATAGAGATTCCTACAGAGAGGAAAAGCAGCAAAAGGCCAACCTCCTCGTAGCACTGTGCAATAGTCATCCCAAGAGACCGCAAGCCTGAAAGACAAAAAGCGCTGTCAGTAAGCTGCTTCACGTCGCTGCCGTCGTAACTTTGCAAAACATCTCTTATTTGAGAGCTGCCCGCCTTATGTTTTTCTTTGACTGCTAGTGAACACGCCTTAAGAAAAAGGGGGGCTGCTCTCAACACTATTGGGAAAACATGATTTAAAGAAATAGATTAAAATGTTAAACTGAACCACTGACATCACTTCTATTTCCTTAATACAGAGCATAGAAATTCGCCTCCTTACTTATCGTTTGAACTCCATATGCATATGATTTAGAAAAGCTAACCAATCTTGATTTAGTAATTGGTTATACTAGAATATCTAGCACAATTTTTAATAAGTTATCTAAATAACTATTAAAAAACACACTGAAAACACCTGCTCCCTACTTTCAGTCTGAATGTGCCAAACTCCTACTTTCTAGCCATTGTCATATTTTTCTCTTTGACCAAGCAACCCTTAGATACCAAATTTGTGTTCCCAGGTGAGTGCTTGGAGCCCAATTCCGTCACTCAGTAACTTTTTCTTTGCTAAGGACTGTTTTCAGTCCTTTTATAGTTCTCATAGCCTCTCTTCAACCCCTCTTTCCCCCCAAAAAACCTATCAATATCTTTGTCTGTAGACATCAGAATACAGTATTCCAGCAGCAGCTGCATGTGTGCAAAAACTGGAGACAGCAAAGCCTCCCAATGCAAACACGATATTTTCCTGTTAATTCACCAACGTACTGCATCACTCCCACCATTTGTGAGCTGCACTGGGAGTGCGTGTACAGCTGATCGCTCTCCATAACCCTCCATGCTCCTTTTAGAGCTGCTGCCTCAAGGCTAGACTGCCCAACAAAGCAAGCAGGAAAGCAAATCCAGTAATAGTACACTGGATAAATGTTGCACATACAAACAAAGAAGGAATATAACAGAGCATCAACTCAGCTGAGACACATGGGAGACTGAAATTATCTTTTGAATCACAAGTGATTTTGCATTGTTTTTTAATACTGTACTTTAAAAACGTACTATGTTTTCTTTAACAAATGAGAAAACCACAATGCTTATGAATCACCCTTCATGGGGTACACTTCTGTTTAAACCAGTGTTTTGCAAAATAGCTTACTGGAGCTCTGCCTCTGCTTGCAGACTTCATATGCTCATTAGGGTAATAAGCAATTCGATTTGCTTTTCTGTCCTCAATCTCAATCCACAAGATGTTGAAATTTCTTCTTGCTTTTGGCTCTTTCTTTTCCCCTTCAGCTCTAGTGGGTTTTAAAGTTTTTGTTTATGTAGAGCAAACAGTGGAAGTATACACTAGAGTTTGTATGGAGTGTTTCCTTTTTCAGTGTTTTCTTCTACGAACTCCAGTTAAGGACTTGCCCATATCCAGGTTTTATATTACTATAACTATGATCCGTTGGTTAGAATGTTTATTACAATGATATAGTTTAAATCTGAAACACAAGGGGAATGTGATATACCAGTGTAATCTTTTCTCTGCCTCCACATTTTGAAAATGCACTAAGATGAGCAATGTAAAAGCTGTATGAGACAATTGCAAGGATCCAGATCAAACTCTCATCATCCAAGGAGTTTACTGTCATCAACTGCCCTGTAAAACTTCCTACTGAACAAAGCAGAAAAATAAGTCCTTTCGGGTGACCTAGGAAGAAGGTACTCTGATTTAAATTTACCCATGTAGCACTTCTTTTCAAAGCATAAATAAGTACTGTAAGAGCCAGGGTCTGCCCCTTATGATGGATCCTGAGCATACTACAGCTGAAAATCAGCGCAACTTTTCATAAACCAGGTCAAAACAAGCAGGAACAGGGCAGTGACTGCTGACTCTTTGTATCACACTGATGACACCTAGACATCTGCATTTTTTTTTAGTTCCATTATCCACATCTAAAACAAAGGTACTGAAAAACTGCAGAAGGTGCTGAAGAGTGTAACAGAAATGATTCAGTGTCTGGAAAAACAGAGCTCTAGTTGCCTCAGTTATCAAAAAGAAAAAACAGTTATTGAAGAGTTATCTTTGTTATCACAAAGGAAAATAACAACTATAGAACCCTTTAATTTGTTAAAGTCAAAGCAATAAAAAAAAAAAACAAACCCCAGAAACTACAACAGTGTCTGGACCTTGAAATGAAAACGGAAAAACCTCAAATTAAATTGGTGAGGGTACGTAATCACCAGAAAGATCAGTGAAATGATGGTTCTCCATGTCTTGATGTCTTCAGATGAAGTCAGAAGACATTTTTAGATGAATCTATGAATCAGACAACTTACTGGACTCTGCAGTTCATTCGAAGTGGAATCAGTCGGGGTTTGCAAAAGAGTAATATCTTCTTCTATATCATATTGTAACTTTTTTAAATGTCTGTGAGCCCTAGCACACAGCCAAGCAAGGGCTGTTCCAGCAGAGACACCTCAGCAAGTCTTATGACTTCCCGCAAGAACTCCTTGCCAGGAGCTGCAACAGCTTGGTTACTCGTGCTGGAAGGTGCGAAGGAGCTGTACCAGAGCTGGTGTGGGGCAGGCGAGCAGCCCAAGCCCTGGGGACAGCAGCAGAAGGGGAGGCGATTCTGCCATGCAGGTCAATTCTATCTCTTCGTTGCCCAAAGGGACTTGGCTATACAAGCTGATGTTTGGGAGTTTCAGTTTACATACACTGTTTAAATCATCCTAAATTTTTGGCAGTAAAAGTGCTGAAGTTTTGCTTTTTCATGTGTCCAGAGGCATCCTATCCTGACATGCGCTACAGCCTTCTCTCAATCATATGCCTATTGCCATCGGAAGAAAGATGGTCACATTCTACTTCTCCTCAAGGAGTCAATCTGTAAGTGCTTCCCAGAGGAGGACCAGCAAGGCTTCACACAAAACACGGCCCCAGAAAGAAGCCAACGGCTGAGGAGCATCAGCAAATGTGAAAAACGCAGGCTCAGTTCTCACCTACTCTTGCAGCCACTCAAATCCACAATTCTGGTATCTCAAAAGAGTGGCCTCACCTTCTAGCTATATATTTTCTGGGTGGAGGCACTACTGATTTCTCAGTTGCTCCTTGATGAAGTATAGCACTTTGCGTAAGTAATTACACGCTCACTCCAGTCTAGCTCCAGCATTTCTAGGCATCACGTTGCTCACGTGAGCTGGGTTCAGCTTTCAAAGGGGCAGAAATGATTCTTCCATTTCTTTTTCTGTCCCTTCCCCACAAGAAAGGTTAATCTCTCATTTTTTTAAAAAATAAAGTGAAAAAAAAAATTGATGTTATGTTTTCCCCTAACTCATTTCTGCTGCCAACAGCAAAGTCAGGCTGCTGTTGGGATCCCAGCTTTGCTATGGGTCTGCACAGTGCTACAGAGACGGTCTCCCTGGGACTGTGATCACCCCTCCCTGCTGAAAGAGGAGTCGCTGCCTGCAGCCATGAATTTTCTCATCTCTTCTAATGTTGCACTCTTCTAGCTACACAGAGCAGGTGGAGTCCATGAAGCTTTGCCTGGTCTCAGCGTGCACGAGGCAGAGAGGACGTAGGGAGGCAGCTTTCAGCTGCCAGGTCCATGTCAAGAGAGCAGAACTGTTCTTGGTGCCACCCCTGAACACTGAGATTTTTCAGGACTGCCTAGGTACATGCAAGGAGGATGGTCTCTGTGTATGGTACTCATGGGGTTCATCTTCTATTAGCAGCTGTGGTTAAGGATGTATTTAGAAGCACATTAACAAAACTCTATTCTGCTACATATCTCTAGTGGTCGGAAACAGGGCTTCAGATCTGTGGGCGTATGTTTCTATTTTGATTTATTAGGGCTATGTTTTGTCTCAGTAGAAGCATCTCCTCTGACAGAAGATCAAAGCAGTGACTTTCTGCATTTAAATTATACAGATTTGATTTAGTGTTCTGGGCCTAAGAGGGCAGTAACTCTGAATTACCAAAGCAGCAAGCACAGCAACAGTAATGCTGCTCTGGATGGTGTTGTTTCTTGAATTTTGAAACAGGTATTTTGGTTCTAGTAGAAAGATGATAGCTCACTTCCAGCTTAGGAGACTTGATTTTGATAAAATCAATTCACTTCTACCTCACATGGAATTACAAAACTCTTGTATGGCACTCAATATTGTGATATAAACTGTGGTATTATTTTAATGAATTTAAGAATAGAGACACCAAAGTTTAGACCATCCCTGAAAGTTAATATACCTGAAGTTAACAGCTATTATACCAGTGTCTGAAACATCTGGTTTCAAGTTAATAGAGCCTTTGAGTTTCATGGATTCATTCTGTAACAGTAAAATGCAATAAACGGGAACCTTTATAACTAGAATCAACATACTTTTGGATCACTATTTTGTTATTCAGCACAAAAGTGCCTTGATAGATTCAAATCTTTTTCTTTGTTTCAAAATGCAATTAGAGAGGACTCCATTCACATTACAGCTACCATCAAAAGTGAGCAGCAGCCTTTCTTGCAAAAAAACCTCACCAAATCCTGCAAAGATAACAATGATGCAAACCAAACTCATTGACAGACTGAATCGTTATCAGCTTCCTTTCAACTGCTTTCTAAGGGACAGTTATGTATCAGCACAGGCATAATCTAGGGTAGGCGAGTAAGATTAAGATACTTCCCAAATCACTATGATTATGCTCAGTGGCATTAAAGCTCCTCCCTGGCATGGGCAGGCAGGTTCACCGCCCTTCAGTAGGAAGAAAAATCGAGGCATTCTGCTGCTGCGAGCACACTGTAATGCCTGCTGGAGTAGGGCCAGTTCACAAAGAGGGCAGAGATCGATCTCCAAAAAACAGAAGCATCAACCCATTCCCGCCCCATGGCAGGAAATCTTGGAAGGGTACGCTGAGTGCCAGGTAAGAACGACAATCATCATCTTCAGAACATGCTAAGATTGCAGAAGAGACCACGATTTACTATTATGATCTGAGTTTTCAAAGTGCCAGGTGTTGGCTGAATATTTCTCCTGTCAAATTCAGTGCCGTACTCAGCACTGATTTAAGTGGGAACATAATTAAATCCCTTTGAAAATGCCAAGCACTGGACAACATCATGGCATGGCGAGGGTGTGGTGGAAGCATGGCTCTTCACTCTTTCATGTGTCCAGGCATGCACATGTCATGAAGTAGTAATAAAAACTGGGGTAAACACAAGCAGAAGTGCAACACCTTCCAATCACTTCCAGCTTCCTCACGTAAATTCCCACTGAAAATGTTACCTTTTATGTCTTCCCTTCACTACTCAGAAAGAGTGAACAAAAATATTCTCAGAAATGCATTTCACCTTTCACCCTAGCCCTGCTTGTTGTTCATCCATCTGTCTGCTGACCTGTCAGAAGTGCTTGGACATGAAGGGGCCACACCGATGGGTGACTGCTAACTGAACCTGACACTGCTGCTCTGAGCTGCACTTAGGTCCATTCAGTAGACAGCCCCCAGCTGTGCTCCACAGATCACACAGATACCCAGGGGCTCAGCAGGGCCAGAGAGCCCCTCAACCCATTGCCTGGTACAAACTGGCTTTAACAGTTTTTTTGCAACATTCTTTACCCTCTTGTTTTCAGGATCTATGATGTAGACAAAGTCATGATATATTTCTTTTTATATATTTCTTAACAAAAGAAATTGTGACAGGTAATTATAAGTCACCATTAATGGGCTTTAGATAATACAGAAAGCGTGAGTCAATGATTTCTGCTTCTTCTCTTACTTCATTCCTTACCAAATCAACTCAAACGTAAGTTTGTACATTTATGATATCATGAATGACTGGCGGATGATTTATAGTCTGCAACTTTGGGGCCTGGTTTTGTAAATATTCTGTGCAAACAATATACATTTGCTTTATGAAGAACTAAAATTTATTGGAGAAGGCCCTTACCACTAAATTATCAATGTCCAAAAGTAAGATTTTCACAAGCCATT